GGGTCCTTAAAATAGATCCACATTCTTCTTATAGTGTGATGTCACCCTTGGTGATTTTTCAGTGTCCTACTTTCCATATACAATTGTACACATCTATAAGGACTGAGATTTAGAAAAGATCAGTATAAAATGGTTGTCTGATGTGTTTCCTTGAAAAATTTTTTTGTCCTCTAAATCCTATTCATATATCAAAAGAAATGTAAAATGAATCCATCCATAATAGCACTGGAACATTGGCTGAAGTACCTTCATAGACCCGATTGGTGGGGAATGGCTGAAATATGTAGGATGGGAGATCAGATTTATGATAAAACCTAATAGAACAGTAGAATTTTGGACCCATGAAGGAAAGATGGGACCACCAAAGAAATTATTTTCTTTCTAACAAAACCCAACAATAGTTCTAAGATTATACACAGAGGAGATTTAAGGTATAATTGGTGGGCAATGAAGCAGAGGCCCAAGAGCAGTTGTAGCAATATTTCACTTTTCATCGTGGCTTCTGTGCTCTGTCCCAACTGGTGGGTATCCTGATATATGAGAAACCAGAGTAGGCACTGAAGTCAGAGAAACAGTTAAGTGCCCAAGATCATTAATGGCTGCCAACAAGAAAGGGGTTCCTTGAATGTAGAAGATGAGCTGGTCACACAACCTAGAGAAATGTTTTCTTGGACACATACAGCAAAGGAAAAAATAATTGGAGCCTGATTTCCTATAATTAGACATGGTTTCCACTGTCAGGTAAAGAAACAATATCATAAATCAACAAACATTGGAGTAAAGCTACCATAAAAAAGCATTAGAAATAACAGTAGAAGAATTAACCATTGAAGAAAAATTATTAATGCAGACAACAGAAGACTTAAAAATAATCATAATTAATATTCTCCCAAGTTATTACAAAGCATGACTTCCAAAAACAAGAACTAAGTTCTTGGAAATCAAACACATGATTCTTCCACAAACACACAAAATCTCACCTTGGTATGTGGGCTGCATAGTGAAGTAGACAATGGCTGAATATCAAATTAGTTAACAGTATCATCAAGCTGACAATGTAAATAATTGGAGAAATAAAGAGTATGAAAGAGGAGTTAATAAGTTAATAAACATGGAAGACAGATCCAGGAATACTGAGATCCTACTAGAAATTTCAAAAAGAAAGGAGGTGGAGAATGAATGATAGGAAATAATAAAAGAGATAAGAGAAGAAAATTTGCATGAGTTGACAAAACACATTAGTCATCAAGTGCCAAGATAAAAACAAAGAGGGAGAGAGAGTACAAACCCTACATTTAGACACACACAGCATATTCAGGTGACAGTTCTAAATTCCAAAGACAAAAAAAAAAAAAAAAAAAAAGTCCAAGAGCTCCATAAAGGAAAAAAACCGGAATCCATAGGAATAAGGAATGAGAATCAACCCTCACCACACTTCTCATCTAGAACGTGAGGTATTATAGAATATCTTCACAATTCTGAGGGAAAACGATTTTGAATTCAAAATTCCATGCTGAGCCAATCTATTCTAGGAGGGCCAATTTATCCAATTTCAGAAATGCAAGGATTCAGAAAGATAACCCGACTCAAAACTTTCCTAAAGAATTACTTGGAGATGTATTCTTCTTAGATAATGAAATGAATCAGGGAAAGGAAAACAGGAGGAAAAAAAAGTGTCGGACCAAGAAATGAGTAAAACAATTACTTGTTTATAATGCGGTTGTAGACAAAATGTATTTATTGACAATAAATTATTTAAAAGAAAGAAATACATAACAAAAAATAATATAATCTGGAACTAAAAGTCTGTATGATTTAGACAAAATATAAAAAGTGATAAAAGAAGAGGGGAAGTGGAGGTGCTTAAGGAATTGTTTCATTCCGAGAGCAGTGGCCATGGGCATTAAATCCCAATGCCGGGCAGCCCCGATGGCTCAGCGGTTTAGCGCCGCCTGCAGCCCGGGGTGTGATCCTGGAGACCCTGGGTGGAGTCCCACTTCGGGCTCCCAGCATGGAGCCTGCTTCTCCTTCCTCCTGTGTCTCTGCCTCTCTCTCTCTTTCTCTATGTCTATCATAAATAAGTAAATAAATAAATCTTAAAAAAAAAGAACTTAAAAAAGTTTGGAGATGCCTAGGGGCCTCAGGCAGTTAAGTGTCCGACTCTTGATTATGCAGGTCATGATCTCAGAACCCTGAGACAGAGCCTCGTGTGGAGAGATTCTTTTTCTCCCTCTTGGGGCTCCTGGGTGGCTCAGTTATTTGAGTGTCTGACTTTGGCTCAGATCATGATCCCAGGGTTCTGGGATTGAGTCCCACATTGGGCTCCCTGCTCAACAGAGAGTCTGCTTTTCCACCTTCCTCTGCCTCTCCCCCCTACTCATGCTCTCTTTGTCTCTCTCTCAAATAAATAAATAAATTGTTTAAAAGAAAAAAAGATGCTGTCTCTCCCTCTCCCTCTCCCTCTGTTCCTCCCCTCACCAAAAAAAGAAGTTTGAATATGTTCATTAATAAATTAATAGAAAAGAATGCATAACTTTCAATTCAGTAGAGAAGAAGGAACAGCATATGAATTTAGTCAGAGCTGAAAAGAGGCAAAAAAAAAAAAGAGAGAGAGAGAGAGAACAAGAAAACATTAACAGAAAACACAAAACAAAATGGCATGAATACGACTAACCCTGTCGGTGGTAACAATACATATAAAAAGGTTAAACCCTGTCTCAGCTGTAAACTGTTTATGGGAAACGTGCCTCCAAACAAAATAATCCAGAAGGGATTTAAATCTGGGGGATTTAAATCTGGGGAAAAAGAATAAATGCTTCAATCTAAAATCCAGGATTTGGCAGCAGTAATTTTAGAGAACTACTCTCCCTGATGCATCTTCAAGAGGGGGTTGGCAGAGCGGGGATGAAGTGCTCCCGGAGGGGCAGGGGAGACACATCAAAATGGAATGGAGGGCATTTTGGAAATGATTTTTTTTTTTATTTAACACCAAAAATAAAGGCAACATAAGCAGACATAAGCAAGCAGGACCGCATCAAACTACTCCACAACAAAGAAAACCATCAGCCAAATGAAAAGATACTCTATAAAATGGGAGAAAAGATTCAGAAACCATGTTTCTGATAAGAGGTTAGTATACACTGTACAAGGAACTCATACAACTGAATAGTAAAAAACCAAATAACCCAATTTAAAAATGGTTAAAGGATCTGAATAGACATGCTTCCAAAGAAGACACACTGATGGCCAACAGGTATGTGAAAAGGTGCTCACCATCAGGGAAGTGCAAATCCAAGTGCAAATCCAAAGCACAGTCTGATGGCTGTTAGCATGGTTGTCATAAGGAACACGAGACATACCAAATGCTGGCGAGGATGTAGAGAGAAGGAAACACTTTTGCACTGTTGGTGGGAATGTAAACTGGTACGGCCACTTTAAAAAAAATTATGGAGGTTTCTCAGGAAATGGAAAATAGAACTGCCAAGAGATCCATGCACTTCTTGGTGTGTCGGAAGGAAATGAAACCATTTTCTCAAGGAAATATCTGTATTCCCATGTTCACTGCAGCATTATCCACAATAGCCAAGGTATGAAAACAACTTAAATGTTTATTTATCAATGAATGGATCGAGGAAATGTGATCACACACACAGGAACAGAATTCAGCCTTAAAAGAGACACAAATCCTGTCATTTGCAACAGCACAAATGAACTTGGAGAGCATTATGCTGAGAAGTGAAAAAATCAGACAGAAAGACAAACACTGCATGGTTTCACTTATATGTAGACACTTAAAGAAAAAGTCAAACTCATAGAAACAGAGAGTAGAAAAGTGGTTGCCAGGGGCTGATGAGGAGGGAAAATAGGGAGAGGTTGGTAAAGGGTATCAACTATCAGTTATAAAACAAATAAGATCTGAGGATCTGATGTAAAACATAGTGACTCGTTGATCATACCACATTGTATAATTAAAATTTGCTGAGAGTAGAACTTAAGTCTTCTTACCAAAAAAAAAAAAAAGAAAAAAAGAAAAAGAAAAAGAAAGAAAGAAAGAAAAGACAGAAAGAAAGAAACAGAATGGCAAGCCTTGAGAGTACTGTTGAAATGGATTAGATTGAATGTGGGTACTTCCAAACCATTATCAGAGAATGTTCAGGACTTGTATTTTCTAGGAGAAGATCATGGGTATTAATGACCACACTGCCAGTAATAGATGACATGGTTTCTATCGTCAGTAATTTTGCTATGGCCCTTTAAGCAAGTTACAACTCACAGTAGGTTCTAGTTTCACCATCAGAAAAGCTTTATAATGTTATGAATAATCCATGAAGACCACCTGAGGCCACCACATTCAAGAGAGAATTTGTCTTTAACAAATACTATGTTTGTGGGGGGAAAAGGAAGGACTTTAGTTACCCAGCATCTTGGAGTCTTCGTGAAAACAAGCATGCTGGGCCAGATCTGTGGAACCGGTTTAATTCCCCAAATGGTTGTTGAGATTTGTTCATGCACACTGCTACAGCAGCACAACACACAGCAGCAGTTTGCAAACTTAGGCAAAACCAGCAAGGACACCAGTAGGTGCAGGAGACCCAGGTCTGAGCATGCAAATAGTTTGACTCGAAGACTGTCTTAAATTCTTCGTGGGCATCCTTGGTGAGGCTTCAGTCCAGTTTCCTGGGGCCTTAGTCCAATAGCCAGCAACAGTCCTGGTGCGTCCTAGCTGTGATGTCAAGCCTGGAATGTATGACTTCCTGAACGTCCGGGGAAGGCAAGGCGGGGGCCTGAAGATGTTCTGCTTTACTTAAACCCCAGACTTGCTCCAGCGGCAATCATGGATTTACTGTGGGCAAACCCACACTTAGAAACGTCAGTTTCCCCGAGGATAACACAGGCCCTTCCAGAAAGCTCGTGCAGGTGGATACGTATGTACATGCTAGCTGGATGTCAGCTCTAAGATCTAATTTCGTCTTTCTGGTATTTCAGACGGCCCCGGATTGCTAGTGGGAACTATGTAGCCACAGCTTCAAAGCAGGAGTAAAAATCAGAACAGAGCCTGTAACTGACACTATCAGAAAGAGCCACAGAAAAATGCGGTCCAGAACCTGGGCTACGAATTTCCAGTCTTGGACCACCTGCAAAAGAGAAAAGGACTCCTTCCATTCAAGATGCGGAGCAACTGTTCGGAATTCATTTCAAGGGATTGGAACAGTGACTAACATTCAGCTTTACACACTGCAGTTTTCAAAACACACCTGCCACATCCCCCGCAGGGTAGGTTCGATTCCTCCCCGTGACCCTCACTGGCCTGCCTGTGAACTCTTCGGCAACACCGAAGGCGTAACAGAAACAACAGAATCATTTATGCCTTGGTAAACAAGACTGATCAAAATGGGAAAAGCCTGATTTTTACACAAACAAAAAGCCAGAATCTCTTACTATGATCTTCCAGATATTACATATGAGATGAATTGCAAACTTAAAAGTTAAGTTTTTCTGGCCAGAGAGGAAAAAGCCTTTTCTTCCCCTCCACGTGCGGGGATGGCTGCTGTCTCTGGACACCTGAGAACTGCTGGTGGGGACAGGTGGTCAGGGGAGGACAGCACTCTGAAGGGGAGGCGGGCGGGATCCCTTTGGATGGGGGGGAATTGGGGGGTTGGGGAGGCAATAAGCCTGTAGGAATGAGGTCAGGGTATGTCCAGAGGTCTGAAGGACATGGGCCCGTTCTCTTTTGAAGGAAAAGAAATGTCCCATTTCTTTTATATGGGGATTGTGTAAAGAGGGCACAGCCCAGGAGTTCTAGAAGGGGACATGGGTGCGGAGGTAGAACCTGCATGCATCTGGCACACACTGGGATTTAAGAAAACTTTGGGAAAAACGGAAAGAATACACATTGAATGTTTAAAGTGTCACAACGTTAAGTGGTGGTATTATGAGTGATTTTAACGTTCTTGTTTCTACTTAAAAAAAAAAAGATTTTATTTATTCATGAGAGACACAGAGAGAGAGGCAGAGACACAGGCAGAGGGAGAAGTGGGCTCCCTGGGGGAGCCTGATGAGGGACTCGATCCCAGGACCTGGGATCACGCCCTGAGCCAAAGGCAGATAGATGCTCCACCACTGAGTCACCCTGGCATCTCATTTGTTTCTACTTTATGTATTTTCCAAATTCTTTACCCTGAGAAGGTGTCACTTTTATAATTTTTTAAAAAGCTATTTAAATCTTTGAATCAGAATTTTTACAGGATGTAAACAAACAACAAACAACCCTAAGAGTAGCAGAAATGTTTGTTCCATAGCAGCATTCCCCTCTAATGCTTTAAAAATGTTTTTCAGTGGATCAAAAACACAACAAATAGAATATTCTAGGTAGTATCTAGACATAATACAGAAGGATATTTCTTTCTTTTTTTTTTTAAGATTTATTTATTCAGAGAGAGCGAAAGAGAGGCAGAGACACAGGCAGAGAGAGAAGCAGGCTCCATGCAGGGAGCCCACGTGGGACTCAATCCTGGGTCTACAGGATCACACCCAGGGCTGCAGGCGGCGCTAAACCGCTGCGCCACCGGGGCTGCCCAGAAGGATATTTCTTTTAAAAAATTTATTATTGGGATCCCTGGGTGGTGCAGCAGGTTTGGCACCTGCCTTTGGCCCAGGGCGTGATCCTGGAGACCCGGGATCAAATCCCACGTCAGGCTCACGGTGCATGGAGCCTGCTTCTCCCTCTGCCTGTGTCTCTGCCTCTCTCTCTCTCTCTGTGTGTGTGTGACTATCATAAAAAAAATTTATAAAAAATTCATTATTTTATTTATGTGACCAAACTCTTGGGACTAATTTTCACTGATTTTAGAGGAGAATAATTGAACCCTGTAACTTGGCCTATAACTTGTTTTAAGCAGTTAATCTGAGGCCACGACTATTTTGAGCCCGAAATATACACTCTCACTGCGTTTTTTTTAAAAAAAAAAATCTGTAAGCAAAATAACTATGCTTTCCCCTCACCAAAATATCTGTTGGAGCACTGTATTTTTTATATTAATCCCTAAATCTAATTCTGTTCTTTTCTTTCCAAATACTACAGATAGAAATAACCACCATGGCACTAAAAATGAGAGATAAATTACCAGAGACAGGGATAACCAACTTAAAATGTAGAATTAAATTATGTTAAATAGAATCAAGTCTAATCATAAGGAATGGGGCCTAATCCACACATGCTTCACTTCTCTTACTTCTGTTCCTGGGAACTGCTTCCTAAAAATTCACACTAAAATTCTTACTCATGTCAGGGCTTGTTTAACATTTTACATATGAAAAGCAGGTAGCTAATAACGTCCCATTCAAGCAATGACAGTGTTTTGTTGCCAAGAGATGCAGGAATATTGGTTCTTGCAGGGCTCTTTGGGGGCAGGGTTATGATGAGCACCAGTGTACTCACCTGGTTGATGAAATGCTCTTTCTTCACATGCCTCGAAATGTACCTGATGGAATCTGCTGCCTTTTCCAAGAAAGCAACAAGGACTGTTTCTCCATCACTAACCTGCCTTTGTTTCCTTTTTTCTAGAACTTTGCCTTTCACCACCGGTTGACTCTCATCTCTATCTGGAAAGGAGTAGCGGTCTACATGGTCCTTCATACAAAGCACTTTAGGAAGTTTTTGCAGAAACAGTCTCTTCACCCAGGGGGCCATGGGGTGGTAGGTTGAGGAAGATCTGTGGTGAACATTAATCACGAACACAGTGACAATGATGGACAGGGTCACGAAAACCATAATGAACAGCAGGTACTCCCCAATGAGGGGGATGACTTTGGAGGAAGAGGGGATTATTTCCTCAATTACTAAGAGAAAGACTGTCAGGGAAACCAGCACGGAGGTGGAGAGGGACAGCTTTTCGCCCTCATCGGAAGGCAGGTAGAACACCAGCACTGTCAGGAAGGACAGTCCCAGGCAGGGGATGATGAGGAAGAGGGTATAGAACAGGGGCAGGCGGCGTAGGACCAAGGAGTAGGTGATGAACGGGTAGGAGTAGAAGCCGTCTCTCCTGTTGCCCTTCATCCCCTTTGCGTTGAGTATTTCCCACTCTCCGTTATCAAAGAAGTCATTCCTGTCAACATTGTCATTGACCAAAACGAGGTCAACCATGGTGCCATCATAAGTCCAGGACCCGAACTTCATGGAGCAGTTCTGCCGGTCAAATGGGAAAAACGTGACGTCCATGGTGCACGAGCTTTTGTAACTGGCGGGAGGGGTCCAAATGACCGAGCCGTTCGACCTCACGATGACTTTGGTCATGAGCGAGCCTTCGAAACGCCCATCAGCACTGTGGTAGAAGCAAGTGGACACAGATGAGTTGGGTCTTGGCCCACCCCTCTACTAGTTGCATTTATTACTTTCCTGCCACAGAGTCAGTATTTCAAGAACAAATGGTTCTGTGCTTACTGAAAGTTGTACATTTCTCTGAATTATTTTGCCAAAATCAGGCTTCTCTATCACCTGTCCTAATCTGACCAGCATATTTTTCTTCGGGGTTACTTACTTTTCAAAGAGAACTATGTCAGGAAGCCAGAGAGATTCTGATGGGACTTTAATTGAATGAATCCCACCATATTCATCAGGATTCCAGCGTAATTTGTGGTCTGTCCATTCCTGCATCAAAATGAGTATACTGTAATTTTATTCTGAAAATTCAATGTTCAAGTTTATGTTAATTTACTGATCCAATGTTTGGTTTTAAATGGGAAATTCATCTGTTTTTAGATCTTATGACCCTACCCTGTGGCTTAGTGCAATTCTCAAGATACAGGTTGAGCCAGCCTGGTCTCTGGTCTTCCCCAGGTCCACACAGCCATCCCACTTGGGATTTCCAAAATTGCCGTATTTACCTTTCAATGAAGAGTCTCAACAACAAGGCCACTGATTTGTGATCTATTTTTTCAGCCTATTTCTCTTAAGAAACAAAAGAAAAAGCAATGGTAAATCTAGCGCAGGAGAGCTGGTCCAGTAATATCTTAATCTCATGATGATGGGTACAAACAATTTTGAATATCACTCAAGAGTCTTGAAAAAACATCCACCCAGTATATTAATATGAAACATCCAGTATCCACTGAGTAGTCTTGATGACATTATAACCTTAATCCAATGAAAAAAATCTTTTCCAAGAATTTCCTTTTAAGTTCTAATCTAAATTTATTTTGTGGCCACTCAATTACAATTTGAAATTATATTCCTAATATTGTTAGCCTCCAGAGATTTACATATTTTTCCTAATAATAGAATGAAATCATTCAACATGTTTTATAGGACCTAATGGACCCAGATTAACAAACCTGACCACTAATTGATTGGATTATGAAGGTCAAGAGGATGATGTATGGATGATCCAATTACAGCAGAAGTGGGCTTTCTTAAAAAGATCTGGATCCAGAATCTTATGAAATCTGATCTGAAAATTAAGTTCTTCTCTCCCACTGTCCCTCAGGTAGACTGTTAAGTAATGATGTAGGATAATATTAAATGATACTTCAGAAAGTTTAAAGGGTATGCCCAATGAGAGCCTTCCTGTCTTTAAAAAATCAGGACTCAGCAGATGGTAACTTCGCTAGGTGGTAAAGTATTGAAACATACATGATGCCTGAAAAAGTGTAAGGCTGTATACACCAGATGAGATATTGTCTATCTTAGGCAATATTTGTGAGGCTTGATCCTTGAAAAACAAATTTAAAAGGATGTAGGTCATTAAAAAGCTACAATCTAAAGGATAAAAGACTGTGTGCCTATTTATGGAAAACTATGCATATGAAGATTAACAGTTTAAGAGCCCAAGCTAATAAAGTATTTACCATGTTTACCTGGTACTCACAGCCTTCTTTCTTTTCCCCTTCCTCTACCCATTTTGAAAAGGACATTCATTTTCCTTCCTATGAATCATTTGTCTCCTACTAAGGAGACTTGTACTATCAGTGGCAGGTCTGAATCTCAGAAATGTTGAAGGGAACTCAGAGTAGCGCTTTTTGTTTGTTTCACTTTTTAAAAATTGACATACAATAAAATTCACTCTTCTTGTATACGGTTCTATATGCAAACAGTTGTATAATCACTAACAACATCAAGATCCAAGAACTTTGTTGCCCAAAAAGTTTTCCCTGGTGCTGCTCCTTTGTAATCAACTCCTCCATTGCCAGCCCCTGGCAATCACTGATCTATTTTCTGATCCTATAATGTTGCCTTTGGTCATATAAATAGAATCATACAGTAGAGAGCCTTTTGATCCTGATTTCTCTTACTTACCATATGCATTTTGGATTCTTCTATATTAGTCATTGGTTCATATTTATTAGTGAGTAGTATTCCCTTGTATTAATTTACCACAACTTATGTATCCATTCTCCAGGTAGGATATTTGGGTTCATCCAGTTTTTAATGATTACAAATAAAGCCACTATAAATATTTTGTGTAACTTTTTGAGTGAAAAACATTCTTTTCTTCTCTTGGGTAAATACCCAGGAGTGGAATGGCTGGGCCATAAAGTAAGTGTATGTTCAACTTTATTTGAAGCTGCCAAACTGTGTACCAGAGTGGCTCTATCATTTTTGTTTTCCCACTAGCAATGTATGAGAGTTCCACGTCTTTAGCGTCTTCTCCAGTACTTGATCTTGTCTCATTTTTTATTTCGATTATAATAGTTGTGAAATGGTATCTCATTAAGGTTTCTAATATGCATTTTTCCTAATGACTAATGATGTTGAGCATCTCTTCATGTGCTTATGTGCCACCCATATATCTTATTTGGCTGTTAAATCTCTAGCATATTTTTTTAATCACGGTGTTTGTTTTATTACTGAGTTTTCAGGCTTCTTTATATATCCTGGATAAAAGCCCTTCATCAAATATTTGATTTGCAAATAGTTTCCCACAGTCTGTGGTTTCTTACTTCTCTAAGCAGCGTCTTTCACAAGACGGAAGTTATACACTTTGACGAAGTTTATTTTACCAATTTTATCTTTTATGAAACATGCCATTTCTAAGAAATATTTGCCTAACTCAAGGTCACAAAGATCTTCTCCCATTTTTTTTATCTAGAAATTTTATAGTATTAGGTTGTACATTTATATTTAAAATCCATTTTGAGTTAATTTTTTTTATTATGGCGTGAATGTGGGATGAAGTTTTTGGTTTTTTATTTTTGCACATGGTTATCCAATCATTGCTGCACCTTTTGTTGAAAAGGTTAAACATTCTCCATTGAATTACCTTTGCACATTTGTCAAAAATCAACCAACCATATACTCTGTGGGTCTATTTATGGGTTTTTTTGTTCCATTTCATTAATCTGTGTCCCTCCTTTCTTTGGTACTACACTTTCTTAACCTCCATTGCTTTCTAGTAAGTTTTGAAATGGTGTAATGTGAGTCCTCCAACTGTAGTGTCCTTTTCCAAATCGTTTTGGCTATTCTAGTTCCTTTGCTTTTCTTTATAAAATTTTAAAGCAGCTTGTTGCTATCTGTAAGAAAAATCCTTCTGAAATCTTAATTCTGATTGCCTTGAATATATAGATTGGTTTGGGTAGAACCACTATCATAATATTGAGATTTCTGACCAAGGAATATCATTTCTCATTCCATGTACTTAAGTCTTTTTTGATGTTTTTAAATCAGTGTTCTGTAGTTTCAGCTTATAGACCTCACACATATTTTGTTAGATTTATATCTCAGTATTTCGGGTTTTTTTTTAAAGAATTTATTTATTTAGATTTTACTTATTTATTCATGATAGAAACACACAGAGAGAGGCAGAGACACAGGCAGAGGGAGAAGCAGGCTCCCTGCGGGGTCCCCGATCCGGGATGGAGTCCCCAGACCTGGGATCACGCCCTGAGCCAAAGGCAGAAGCTCGACCTCTGAGCCACCTAGGTGTCCCTCGTGGTTTTCTGATGTTATTGTAAATGGTGCTTGAGATTAAGGGAAAAAATCCAATTGTTCATTGCTAGAATATAAATAAACAATTGATTTTTGTATACTGACCTTGTATGTATCCTGTAACCTTGTTTAAGCTCATTTAAGTTTAGGAAATTCTGGGGTAGACTTTCTTTTTTTTTTCTTGGCTTTTTTTTTTGTTGTTTTATTTTTTTTTTTAATTTATGATAGTCACAGAGAGAGAGAGAGAGAGAGAGAGAGAGGCAGAGACACAGGCAGAGGGAGAAGCAGGCTCCATGCACCGGGAGCCCGATGTGGGTGGGATTCGATCCTGGGTCTCCAGGATCGTGCCCTGGGCCAAAGGCAGGCGCCAAACCGCTGAGCCACCCAGGGATCCCCTGGGGTAGATTTTCTATAGAAACAATTACATCATTTACAAATAGAGAGTTCTAGTTCTTTTTTTCCAATCTGAATGCCTTTTACTGTTTTGTTTTGTTTTTGCTTTAAGTCACTAGCTAGGACTTTCAGTATGACAGTAAATAAGAATGGGAGGGGAGGGGCACTGGGTGGCTCCGTGGTTGAGCATCTGCTATTTGGCTCACGGAGTGAACCTGGGGTTTTGGGATTGAGCCCCGCATTGGGCTCCCTTTGGGGAGCCTGCTTCTCCCTCTGCCTATGTCTCTGCCTCTCTCTGGGTCTCTCATGAATTAAATAAATAAAATCTTTTTAAAAAATAGGAGTGGGAGAGTAGATATCTTCTCATTGTTCCTGATCTTGGGTAGAAAGCGTTTAGATATTCACCATTAAGTATTATGTTAGCTGTTGGTTTTCTTAAGTGCCCTTTATTTGACTAAGGAAGATTCTTCCTATTTCTAGTTTGCTGAGCTTTTAAAAAAAAAAAAGATTTATTTATTTGAGAGGGAGAGAGAAAGCATGCATGCTGAGAGAGTGTGAATGGGGGGAGGGGCAGAGGGAGAGAATCCTAAGCAGACTCCTGCTGAGTGTGGAGTCCTATGTGGGGCTGGATCCCACGACACTGAGATCACAATCTGAACCAAAATCAAGAGTCCGATGCTCAACAACTGAGCCATCCAGGTGCCCCACATATAATTTTCTTAATTAGAATGGATCTTGACCTAAGTTGTATGAAAAGCTTTTCAGCTTCTATAGAGATGATTACATGATTATTCTTTAGTCTCTTAATAAGATGAATTGTATTGATTGATTTTCTGTTTTGTTTTTTTTTTTTTTAAGTAGACTGCACACCCAACATGGGGTTCAAACTCAAAACCCTGAGTCTAAGAGTCATATGCTTTACTGACTGAGACAGCCAGGTTCCCTATACTGATGAAGTGCTTTATATTTATTAGTGCTAATTCCTTCAATAAGCTACAAAATTACCTACTATTAGTGCTATATTAGATGAGGCCCCTGTGGCCCGGAGCATTCAAGTGCCTTGTACCAGGCCACACAGTTGGTCAGTAAAGAAAACAGGATTCAAGCCTGCTGCATATGACTGGGCATGCCGTGCATCACAACCCTAGGAGGTGCCTTTCACATTGACTAGGACGTGAAGGGTGCCCCCCCCAATGTGTGCCACTGAGTGATGGCAATGGTACTCAAGCCATGGTACATTAAAAGGCATATCCTGCACTCTTTTCCCCTTTCCCATGCTACTGGACAGTGGAAAAATTTGTGGCTTACAATTCTTCATAACATCAGTTATTTGA